TCCTCCTACCTCTCCCAGCGCTCTTTCAGTGGTTCTTTCTCTGGCTCTGCTTCTTCTCCCCAACCCCTCTCTGTTGGTGTCCCCCAAGGTTCAGTCCTTGGTCCCCTACTGTTCTCCATCTATACTGCCTCCTTTGGTAAACTCATTAGCTCCTTGTGCTTCCAATATCATTTCATCATGCGGATGACACACAAATCTACCTGTCCTCTCCTGATCTCTCCCCGTCCCTCCTGACTAGTGTCTTTGACTGCCTCTCTGCCGTTTCTAACTGGATGGCTGCCCACTTCCTTAAACTAAACTTGACCAAAACTGAAATTCTGGTCTTTCCTCCCACAAGTGTTGTTACTCCTGTGTCTGTCTCCCTCCAAGTCAACGGTGCCACCATCAGCTCCACCACGCAGGCTTGCTGCCTAGGTGTTCTCTTTGACTCCGACCTCACTTTCAAGCCTCATGTTCAATCTATCGCCAAATCCTGTCATTTCCATCTCAAAACATTGCGCGCATCTGCCCCTACTTAACGCCACATGCGACTAAGGTGTTGGTCCATTACACTGTCCTTTCTCGCCTTGACTACTGCAATCCGCTTCTCAGTGGTCTTACGTGCTCCCAACTTGCGCCCTTACAGTCCATAATGAATGCGGCGGCGAGGCTCATCTTCCTGTCCGCCTGCACCTCCCATACCTCACCCTTCTGTCAGTCCCTACATTGGCTTCCTATAAAATATAGAGCTCAATTTAAAATTCTGGTTCTTGCTTTCAAATCTCTACATAATGCTGCCCCCACCTATCTATCCTCCCTTATACACAAGTATGTCTATCTTCTGTCCGTACTCCCACCTCTGATGCTCGCCTTCAAGATTTCTCAAGGGCTGCACCGTTCCTGTGGAACTCGCTTCCCTCCTCCGTTAGATGCTCACCCAGTCTCCACTCCTTCAAAAAAACTTTCAAAACCCACTTTTTCATAAAAGCGTATCAATTAAACTGTTGATAGCTCCTGACTGATTCCTCTTCTGCAACAGTCATTAGTCTAATACTACTCTTACCTTTTTGTGTCATTTTACCCCACTCCCTCTAGTATGTAAGCTCATTGGACAGGGCCCTCAACCCCTCTGTTCCTGTGTGTCCAACTTGTCTGGTTACAACTACATGTCTGTTCGTCCACCCATTGTAAAGCACTGCGGAATTTGATGGCGCTCTATAAATATCATAATAATAATAATAATCAGGGTGTTGCAGTGGATGTGATCTTTTTGGATTTTGCCAAGGCATTTGATAAAGTTCCACACAATAGATTAGTGTTCAAACTCAAGGAAATCGGTCTAGATGAAAATGCTTGTTCTTGGGTAGAACATTGGCTTAAAAACAGAGTACAAAGAGTTGTCATTAATGGTAAATTTTCAAGCTGGACAGAGGTGGCAAGTGGTGTCCCTCAGGGGTCTGTTCTGGGACCCCTTCTATTTAACATGTTTATAAATGATCTTGAAGACCGCATTGAAAGTCATGTTTCAGTGTTTGCAGATGACACCAAACTTTGTAAAACAATACAATGTGAGCAAGATATTACTTTGCTGCAGAGGGATTTAGATAGACTGGGGGACTGGGCACTCAAATGGCAGATGAAATTTAATGTTGAAAAATGCAAAGTTATGCACCTCGGCGTAAAGAATACACAAGCAACGTATACCCTTAATGGAAGCGAATTAGGGATAACAACACATGAAAAGGACTTGGGAATTGTTATAGACAACAAACTATGCAACAATGTGCAATGTCAATCAGCAGTGGCCAAGGCCAGTAAGGTATTGTCATCCATGAAAAATGGCATTCATTCTCTGGATGAGAATATAATTTTGCCTCTTTTATAAATCACTGGTAAGACCACATATTGAATATGCTGCGCAATTTTGGGCACCTGTTCTAAAGAAGGATATTATGGCACTAGAAAAAAGTGCAGAGGCGGGCTACAAAATTAATAAAAGGAATGGAACATATCAGCTATGAAGAAAGGTTTACAAATTTAAAACTCTTTGGTTTAGAAAAACGTCACCTGAGAGGGGATATGATAACATTATACAAATATATTCGGGGCCAATACAAACCATTGTGTGGAAATCTATTCACAAACCGAACTGGAAGCGCTTCAGACTGGATTTTTTGCCTTCTTTTGGATCAACAGCTAAAACAAATGTGAAGTAGGCTGAACTTCATGGACGCAAGTCTCTTTTCAGCTATGTAACTATGTAACTATGAAATCGTTGCTTTTCCCTGGGATCGAGGTCTCTGATTCATCGATTCATCATGTTACCTTTATTTAGTTATTACTGTCACTGTAACTTCAAAAATGATGGTGTGAAGGCAGTAATTTGCAATATTTATTGTATTCCAAGCATGTGTTCCAACGGACAATCAGCAAACAGAGGGTAGAAAAAACTGAATATATTGAATCCATAAGCAGAGACAACTGTATTACTGATTAATTTCTATATTTTATAATAATTCATAAATAATTTGACCCTCTGGTAATAGGTGTGAGGGAAGGGTTTAGGTAAGAATAAATACATACGGCTTTAAAGGGCTCTTCGTCTCCTTGCATTAATTCTTACTAAAACAAATGTTGCCACCAAAAATATTTTCTTTATTACATTTTAATTATATAATGAAAAAAAATCAGTTTCTTCTTTGCTGCTCCAGATCTTGTGAAGATCAGGGGAAGCTCCATACTCTGTTAATACTAAATGGAGGAGTCGTCTTTTTTTTTATTCCCCCCAGGACTCTTCTCTGCAGACACAATGGTTAGGAGCAGAACCTGAGATGACCCCCTGGCCCCCACCCTTGAGCGGTGGGTGGGGGCCCTAAATACAAATTTAACGAGAAGGGGATATAACATAATATAAAATTCACCTTAAAAATAATGAGGGGGGACCTTTAACTAAATACCTGTAAAAATAAACTTACCATTCAATGTTTTCTTTCTTCTAAAAGCTTCTTTTTTCAGCCCCCAAAAAAGGCCAAATAAAAATCCATAATAACTCAGGACATTAGGTCCCCCCCAATTTGTATTTAGGGCCCCCACCCACCGCTCAGGGGTGGGGGCTGGGGGGGAGGACATTAGGTCCCCCACCTTATTCTTGTTTAGGACCCCATCCACTGCTCAGGGGTGGGGGCCAGGTGGGAGGACATTAGGTCCCCCCCTTATTCTTGTTTAGGGCCCCCACCCACTGCTCAGGGGTGGGGGCCAGGGGGGAGGACATTAGGTTCCCCACTATTCTTGTTTAGGGCCCCCACCCACCGCTCAAGGGTGGGGGCCAGGAGGGAGGACAATAGGTCCCCCCCAATTTGTATTTAGGGCCCCCACCCACCGCTCATTGGTGGGGTCCGGTGGGGAGGACAATAGGTCCTCCCCCCTTTTTTTACTTTAGGGCCCCCACCCGCAACCCACAGGCTGCTGTTTAATAGACATGCCCCTACTCGCTGTATAGCGAGTAGGGGCACAATTTACTAATACTATGTAATTCTTACTTAGTATTAGTAAATTTGGATGAAACCAATTTAGGTCTTTCAGCCTTTTGGTAGATAACTCCCTAATACCGTGGGAATTAGGGAGTTATCTACCAAGCGGCTGCAAGAAAAGTTCCGAAATGCCGGAGTACCGAAGTTCCGAAGTGCTGAAGTTGCCGAAGTTGCCAAAGTTCCGAAGTGTTCAAGTGCCGTAGTTGCTGATGTTCCGAAGTGTCAAAGTGCCGAATTGCTGAAGTCCCGAATTGACGAAGTCCCGAATTTCGGAATGCCGAACAGAGACGAATATTTTCCCCATGCACATGCCTAGTAAACACTGTCTTTTCAGAGAAAATGCAGTGTTTATATTACAGCCTGGTGATAACTTCACTTGCCACTCCTCGAATAGCTGTTAGAGATCCTTCCTGGGTCATGGCTGCCTAAAATGCATCCAAACATCCAGTATCTCCTCCCTCTGTATGCAGACACTGAACTTTACTCATAGAGATTCATTGATTCAATGTATCTCTATGAGGAGATGCTGATTGGCCAGGGCTGTGTTTGAATCATGCTGGCTCTGCCCCTGATCTGCCTCTTTGTCAGTCTCAGCCAGTCCTATGGGGAAGCACTGTGATTGGATCAGGCCACCACTTCTGATGATGTCAGCAGATTGCTTGTTTTTCTGAGTCTAACAGCATGTAGAGTTACAGCTTCAGGCTTGAATACAGTAAGATTTCTCTATATTTATGGAGGCATGAGGGGCTAGATGGGGTTATTAACACTATAGGGTCAGAAATACATGTTTGTGTTCCTGACCCTATAGTGATCCTTTAAATTTTAAATTCTCTTTGAATTTATTTTGAAATTTAACTTTAGTAATTAATCCTGTTAACTTTCTAATTTGAATATCCCTCTCTCTGGGTTGTTGTTGCTACCAAATTTTGGATTATTTAATTCCCATAATGAATAGCAGTTTGACCTGCAATTAGGGAAATTTTCAATTTTCAGTTTGAACTGAATTGATATTCAATTGTATTTCGGCTGAACCAAAAATTACAAAATTATCAAATAAACTAAAACCAAACAAAATGAAAGTTATTTTGGTGGAGATCTCTGTTGCAATGATAAAGAACCCTTCCTGGTCCTGAAATTCATATTAGTTTAAATAAAACTGCAATACTTCATTATTTACATCTAAACGAATAGTAACAGATAAATAATATTTCTTAGCTATTCAAGCAGGGGCAAATATAGTGTAATTAAACATAGATGAGCTATTTTTCTGTAGG